GGGGGGGGGGGGGGTACGCGATGCGGCGCGGGGTCCTTGTGCAGCGCCGGGGCGGCCCTGAAGCGAGAAGGGCTGCCGGCAAGGCCGGCCGCCGTTGTACGCCTCTGTGCGCCCACCTGATGTGCGTGGTGGCGAGGACGACGAGTCCCAGCGTCACCAGCCCGCTGTGCGCCTGGCTGTACGTAGAGGGGTGAGTCAGCAGGCTGTCGTGGTATGCCGTGTGGACCACAGTGCTGCCAAACATCACGCGCCGTGCGCCCCGCACGGACCGCTGGCGCGGCGGAGTCCCGTGCGCCGACGTGCGCTCGGCCGCCAGAGCCGCTTCGGACGACTCTGGGGGGGCCGGCGCGGCTGACGGGGGCGGCGTGGGGCGGGACGGGGCGCCCGCTGCGGACGCTAGTGCTGCGACGGCGACAGCGGCAGCATTGCCCTCTGCCGACCAGCGGACGCTGGAAGCTGACTTTGACCGACCCATGCTCCTCCGCTGCTGCTGCTGGGGCTGGTGCTGCTCTTGATGCTGCTCCCGCTGCTGCTGTTCAATCTGCAGGGGAGTCAGCGGGTCAACGAACGCCGCAAAGTCGTCTTTGCTCCGCTGCCGCAGCCACCTAACACTCGGCATCCGCGCCACCGCCAGCCCCGCCCCGACGCGCCGCGGCGGCGCCTGTGCCTGCGGCGGAGACGGCTGCGGCGCCCGCCCCCGCGGCGGCGAGCGGCCCGGCGCGGCGGGCACGCCGCCAGCCTGCCGCCGCTCGCGAGGTGGGCTCTCGTCCCCGCTGTCCGCGGCGGCGCAAGCTGCACGCTCGTCCATCAACGGTGGCAGCGCCAGCGACGAAAGCTGCCGCAGCAGCCCGCGCCTCTCCGCCGCCGCAGAATCCGCAAGCACCGCCTTTGCCACCGCCGCCGCGGCCGCGTCGGCGGCGGCGCCCAGCAATGGCGCACTGTTCGTCCTGGCCCCGCCCAGCGAGAAGCTGCCGCCTGCCCCGCCGCCTGCCCCGCTTCCGCCGCGGCTGCTGCCCCGGCCGAGGCCGGCGGACGGCCACACGACCTTCAGGCCGGCGCGGCCAAAGGCGTCGGACCACTGCATGAGCGCGGCCGCTGAGTCAGCGGCCACGAGCAGCAGCTCGTTGCGGCCGCTGATGCTGACTGAGCCCCAGGAGTTGACAGAGGGCAGCGGCAGGCCGAGGCCGCCGCCGCCGCCGCCGCCGTCGCCGCCTGTGGGGCGACGGCACGGCGACCGGCATTCCAGGGGGTGGGTGAGGTGCAGTGACGGGCGGCGAAGGGACGCGGGGCAGAACAATGTGCAGCGCCTGCCGCGCCGTGGCGGCCGCTGCTGACGGCCTGTACAAAAAGGCAAGGTCCTCCCCACACACCAGGGGTTCCACGGCCTGACAGGCTGCCGCCCCCAACCCCCCACCAACCGACCTGCGTGCGCCTGCGAAGTCGCGGCGCGCTCCACGATGCGCATGCACCAGGGGCGCTCCACCCCAGGCGGCTCAACTTCCACCAGGCAATCCTGGGGGAGGGTGGTGGTGGCACACATGTGTGCACGTGCGCGCGTGTGTGTAGTGGGGATCCGAGTGTGTGAATGGGAGGGGTCTAGGGTGGCAGTCTGCTTTGGTGAAGAGGGCTGGCTTGAGTGGGTGGAACAGTGCGGCCAACCTTCAGGGGTGCAAGCTGCCAGGGAGGTCCTTACAAAGCATGAGCCTGCGGGCGCACCACACCGCACCTTAGCATGCGCGCGCGCGCACGCACACACACACACACACACACACACACACACACACACACACACACACACGATGGGGTGCACCACGCGCCCACCACGAACGCGCGATAGCCCAACCCACGCGCCCCGCGCCGCAGCGGCCGCACGGGCAACGCGGCGTTTGCGACGCACCGCAATGTATAGAAGCGCCCCCGGCTCCCGCGCCTCGTCCCTATCCGAGTCGTAGATTTTCAGCAGGCCGCCGCTGCCCAGCACAAACCACTGCATCTCCCAGTCGGCTTTCAGTAGCCCGATGGACTCGTCCTCTGTTTGGTGCTGGTGCAGGTAGCCGCGGAACAAGACGGCGCTGCGCATGGCGCGCATGAGCTGCATGCGAGGGGCGGGGCGGGGCGGCGGGGGGAACGTCGCATGGGGGTGGCCGCTTTGACGGCGTTGGCTGCAAAGTGTGTCCGCTGGGCCTGGGGCTGCCCGCATGGGCGCGTGGCGCGTGGCTTGGCATGCAACGTGGCAGATGTCGCACCCAGGGTGTACTGTGGCCAAACGAGGGGCCGTTTCAGTGGAAGGCTGCGCCCATGGGCGCCCAAGGGACACCCACCGCGTCCTGCAGCCGGTCCCTCTCCCGTTTCAGGCTCTCAACCTCCGTCCGGAGCGAGGGGACGGGCTCCAACACCCCACCGCCGCCGCCGCCGCCGGCGTCCGCCATCGTTGGCTGGAGATCACCTAGCAGGCCGTCTGCAGCTGGGTTTGGCTGCTGCGGGCGCCGGGCGGTGGCGCGCGAGATGCTCGCGGCCGCGGTGCTTGCGCACCCTGGTCGTGCGGGACGAAAGTGACCCGCTGGCCTTGTGCGAGGCCGAACTACAGCACGCGGTGCGCGCAGCAAAAGCTGTCTCGATTCCTCTCACGTCATACAACAATGTGCTTTGGTTTGGGCTCTGAGGCTAGCAGCGCGAAAGATCTGACTTCTGACGAGGGTGAGGTTTTCGTGCTATCAGCAGGTTTGATCCGTGCCGTGATCATCTTTGAAATCAGGCAGCGCGGCCTGGCTGTGCATCAAACCCTGCTAACTGCTGTGTCACCGGGCAGGCAAGTGAGCAAGCGGGTGTCGCACACCAGTCCATGCAACAACTGATGGGCTTTGCCACAACTGTGATTCTAGCACCAGCAAACTCCAACAAACCAAGACAGCATCCAACAAGCGCAGTTACACCTCGGCAATTGGGGCGACAGCGGCCGAGAGCAGGTTGTGACCCCCTGCAATGCGCTGCGCGAAGAGGTCTGCGCCGCACACCCCGAGATCCGCGCTGGGCCCGCCGCCGCCGCCGCGATGTCCCAGACACATAACAACGGCCGCGTGGCACAAGTCCCCCTCGAACGTCCGAACCGTCAGCACCGCGGCTGCAGACGCGTCCTCGTAGCTTCCCGCCAGGTCCCTCGGCCTGTCCAGATTAGAACTTCCGTCGCTAGGGGCAGCTGGCGCACTACTGGCTGTGACGAGGAACGAATCTGATTGCCCTGGTGCCATAATTACTTCCAAATCCGGCCGCGGCGTGGCGGTCCATATGCCGGTCACAGTGGCTGACCAACTACCGCGGCGGATGAGGCCGCCGTCTCCCGCACGCCGCGGCCGCACGCCTGCTAACGTCACCCGCCAGGTGGCTGGGTGTGACGCCGGCGG